GAACTCAATTTGTTGCACAAGATATATCCATGATTAGATCTTGATCCCTTTCACGTGACTCATCATCAATAAGTTCAGAAATTTTGTCAACCCAATATTATTTCTCCTAGTTAAAACATTCTTGCTTTGACTGCTAGGTAGCAAGGATCATATCATATGTTCATTTTCACCATCTCCAACATTCCACATATGTCATCTCTTGAAAGTTTATATCCCAGCCCACAAACTTTGCCATGTATAGGAGCCTTCCTTCTCTAATTCGCAGATAAAGAGATAACCTGATGCAAAATACTTATCTCTCAATACTTGTGCCCATAAAGATTAAGGTTCAGATAGTAGCCTTCAACATTCCTTCAAAAACATTGCAAGTTTAAAAAATTCCAAGTCTTTAAATCACACGCCACCTTGTTCCTTGGGAACTCACATCTTCCACCATACAAACCAGTGCATATATATGTTTTTGTTGGCCATCATCTCCCCAAAATCGGGACACTGCAATGATAGCTCTTTGCATATCTCTCTGGGTGTCCTAAAGAAAGCCACTAGTCACTATTGTTTGAATGGCTGCTTTTATCCAAACTTGCTTTCCACCAGAAGAATTAATTTCTCCGTCAACTAGTGAGGCTTACACATGTTGTCAATAAGATGCTGGAAACAATTTGATTTATCCACCCCAACAATAGGTGCTAGACCAAGGGATTTATCTATTATTGCTTTACTCAAAATACAAAGGATAGAATAGACCTCCACTCTGGTCTCCATGGGCTGAATTTTTTTTACTGGACTTGGCCACACTCACCAACTATGCAATGGTAATTCAGAGCCCGTGGAAGGCCATTAGCATTGGAGTTGTTTGCTTTCATTAGAATAAAGGAGTCATCTGCAAATAGAAGGTGTGAGACATATGCGGCATTTCTAAAGACCTTCACACCATGCAAGTTGCTAGATTCCTCCTCATTTGCTATCAAGTTAGTAAGACCTTCAACCAACTCATAAGAAAAGGAGGCAGGGGGAAAGAGGTTTCCCTTAATAGAGGCCCTTTGTAGGAATAATACAATTGGTAAGGGAATTGTTTAATCGGACCTTATACTTTCAGGATGATATGCCTGCCATGATGAGTTACACACACTCCAAAGAAAACCAAGTTGAACCATAATCAGTTCAAGAATTTCCATACAACTCTAGTATACACTTTGTGCATTTCAATCTAGATCACGCAAGTGCCATATCTTCCCTTCCTTTTATTACTTATTGCATGAAAAGATTCATAAGTGACCAGAAAATTACCCATAATGAGCCTGCCTGGAACCAAATCACCTTGCATCGGTGAAATACCTTCTTCGAGGAGCACTTTTGGCCGACGGGCTATTAGCTTCGAAATCACCTTTTGCACAAGATTGCACAAGCTAATAGCCCGTCGGCCAAAAGTGCTCCTCGAACTATGAAATCACCTTTTGGCCGATGTCTGAACTATGAAATATGTTCAACATTTTGTAAGTTGGGGGTCAGGTCAATGGTGGTGTCATTCCATCCTACAGGTATGTTTTTTTGAATTAATTGTCAGGAGTACTTCATCTCCAATAATGTGCCAAAACTTCAAAAAATGCATGGAGGCCATACAGGACCAGGGCATTTAGATCTCAAATATTAAACATGGTATTTTTAATCTCCTCGTGGTCTTGGAACAATGGTAACAGGGGACGAAGGGAGACGATGTTTACCTGGGTTCGGGCCCTCTCAAAGAGGTAAAACCCTATGTCTTGCTTTGATTGTATTGATGTGACGGAGTACAAGGTACAAGATGATCTACCTCGAGATCGTATGGTAGTGTTCTAAACCCTAAGGATGGTAATCGTGCCTCTAAATACTAAACCCCCTGGCTTATATATTATCTGGTTCTATGTTGAGGTATGATCTTGTATGCAAAATTAGTCTTTGTGGTATGATCTACTCCCTCCGTCCCATAATCTAAGACGTTTTTTGACACTAGTGTAGTGTAAAAAAACGTCTTACATTATGGGACGGAGGGAGTAGTATTTACTCGTTTTGCCCGTGATGTTTGGAGGCGTCCTTTCTTGTGATCTTGTTACCACCTGCACGTATATATATTTGTACTAGTATTCTGTTGCCACTAAGATGCCCCTCTAGTACAAGTGAGACCAAAGCCTAGACACCGCCGTTCTCTATTCAATCCTACATTTACAAAAACCCCTTCTTTACTTTGTGTTCTAACTTAGTTTATTTCTACGTTCTAACTTGTAGTTTAGTATAACCCTTTAATTCTTGCTTTCCTACCAATGATAGAATAGACTATTTCCAAGCTACGGTTTGGGTGCGAAAGCGCTATGCAGACAACGTAGTTGTGGGGTTGGTAGTGTCTACCTGTTCACTCCCTATGTGATTCGACACTTACTTATCATGAAATGCAATAGCCCTATGCTCTTGCAGGTCATGGG